ATTACATGCCATCATTCGAAACTGCAGATATATTTGCTTACTTAATACATCGATGTGACTGCACACCATCCAGGTGAAAAGAATATCGACTTGACAATGGTTTTCTTCTGTACAAAGATGGACATATTGTTTCCGTCAAGCTTCACCATGTTATAGAAACTGAAGTCATTTACATCATGGCTGATCGAGTGTGTTCGAGAAACACCCCAAAAAGAAAAACCTTACCAATGCTGGTTTCTGGTTAAAACAAGTTCAGAAATAATTTCCGGTGGCTGTAATTGCGTTGCATAAGTCATTTTTTCCATTAAAGGGGCACCTTCCAGTTAAGCCTAATCTCACAACAAATTTACTTTCTGGATTAAAATAACAATGGATAACAAAAGATAGATTAACATTGTAAACAACATAAACAATAGTGTCCCATGATTCTTTGGTGCAATCCATAAGATTGAGCGGTTCCCCTTTAAGAACTAGACGCAACTACAAGCGTCACTGAACATATGTTACACTTCCGCTCCTTGTCGACGTGACTTGAAATAAATGTTATTAATAATCGCTTTAATGATTGTAACTAAAAATAATTTCCGTTGAAAAAATAATAGAGAACATGGTTCATACAAACACTATGTGGCACTACTATTCAGTATCCAGGATTTTGACTCGCGCCACAAAGATCGCGCAACACAGGTGGGCACCGATGTTGCATGTATATGGGACAAGCCGAGAAAGGAATCCACCCCTTGCAAATTGATAATATATAAGACGAAATAAATTACGCCCAGCCACTACTAAACCAACATTGTCATCTTACAACCCGGGAAGAAAATCATGCCATGAAAACAACGAAGGTTTAATCAAAGCTATTTACGTCTGTGAACTCATGCTACAACCACATGTTGGATCCAATGTTAAACTCAGTAACAGAACCATCAACAAATCCGGATTTAGGCAATAAATTCAAATCTTCAAGTGCTACTAATTTTATACAGTACATGGCAAATTAACTCACTGTATCCGACATTGAACTAATGGCATTACTTTCACTAAATCGGCGAAACTCGTCGCATTGGTTTAAATATCGACATGGCCGTGTAACAGCCAGTATAGCTCACTGCGTGCTTCATATGCAGGAAACTAATAATTCTGACAACTACATCGTAAAAACAATACTAAGTACTCGCAATCAGCAAGTGCAGTCTCCGCACCGAGATTTTGGCATCGAGAATGAACCTGTCGCACGCCAGTTATATTTTGAGAAGTACCAGACTAAACATAAAAACGCCGACATTAAGAAATCAGTTACGTTAGAAAGCACCGGATATTTTGTCAGATTTTTTTTCTTTATGGCACTGGAAGAACAGCCCGGAGCATTGCAATACCAATTTACCATTGTGATTACTGTGTCCTCGAAAGTAAGCGAAGAAATTCACTTTGCGTAGGTCAGCAAGTAAATGCTAAAGCTGTGGTTATTTTAACCCCACTAAGAGCCGTGACAGTAGTTGTCATCCGGGTACTTTGATAGCCCTCTGGCGGCTTTCTAGCTAAATCGGGAACTCGAAAATTGGGAATTCAAGATTTTTTCCACCATTTTAGGAGTTGGTCCGAGTTCTAATATTTTTACTATGTTGGAACAAACTATTGCCAGGCTCACACGTTAATGTCACCCACAGAACTTCAAATGCTTCAAATGCCAGCAAGGAAAGCCGAAACTAGAGCTGAAGCAATCTTTAATTACAGTAACAATTATTGTACATTCTATGAGCGAATAAATGAATAGTTTACCTCCCTTTTCTTTCAAAATAATGGTATCGAAATCAGTACCATGCGGATTAGTTGCTGTACACTTAACCGTAACTTCATTGTTAAATTCAATATTAAGTATACGATCAGTGTCCTGGAGTACTTCATCACCCACTTGCCATTCATAAATTGGATCCGGGTTCCCGTTTGTTGAACACTCCAACTCAACTTTATCACCTTTAGTGAAGGGCTGGCTTCCAACAAGAATAAGTATTTCAAACACTCTAGGTTGGTCTGTTGATAAAAGTAGACACCCTTGACCCGTCAGCATTATTATTGGATCATGTAAATAAACAATACAGATAATTAACATGTTCTAATACGATACACACCATCCATCGCTCAATAGTGAATACAATACAGTAATATATCCTTTAATTCTGATCAGTAGTATCCTGTGGAATTTGCAGTAACTACACCAATCAATCATACTTGCACTACTGCGGCGGTACACGAGTTTTCGTTAATTCTAAATAACATACTAGTATGCCTTCTATCTTCCATTTCTTGAGGGGCACGAAATAGGATACAGTTTTTAAGCCACATGAACTCGTACGGGTTATATAGTTCAGTAAAGTTTCAAAAACCTGAGAACATTTGAGTGTTCATTTTTGAATTTTGTTGTTTCGGAGGGGTGAGCGTCATAGTACTTCTTCGTGATGTTCTTGACTGCAGGGAAGATTTTTGTTAATTATTAGTTATTGCTATTGTACTAGTTTTATGGTCGATTATTTGTTACCACAGCTTGTTAAATTCAAACAGTATTGTTTGGCTCCAGAATGTATATGGGCTGACTATCAGACAAAAAGAGCTATCATTATTATACTACTTTTTCCATTACAGATGAAGCAATAAGCGGAGTTTGACTATGTTCTCATTCCGTAACCCATGAGTCGGACTGGATATACTAAACATAGCAAGGGCCATACACATGGCTAAAATAATACGTAATAATCATTAAATCGCAGCTATTACATAAGTGTATAACTATGTTGTAGCATGATGAAACGCATCCGAGCCAGATATGCCGGACAATACAATAAACTTGAATTTATAGACACTCTGAACAATGCGATTGAAATCCAAATGACTGAACAATGAATTGTATCAATAAGTATAAATTCCCGGCAGTAAATATTGTTGTTGAAATGGTCCACTTGTATTTAAGGCAGTGAAGTCGTAAAACGTTTCCGAGTAGTGACATGTGGTGTACATTAGTATATTATTTGGAGATAGGGACTATAAGTCAACCAGTGTACAAATATGTAACACCACAGGACAACGGACATGGTCAGAAACACTCCCTACTTTCTAATGGTTTTACCTACATGTAAACACACGAAAAAGTATACACTTGCATTAATGGTATTACAATTTTTACAATCAGCGAGGGGCCCAAGAATAGTAAATATCGACCAGCGGAAAACATATTTATGACGAAAAAGGTTATTTTACTCACGAAGGACGTGAAGAACTGTCATATCTTCTACTGGAGGGTCTGTTGCTACATTAGCGCTGCATGTTATAGATATCCCATCATCATATTCTGACACAGTGAGACTTAATTCATTGCTTTCAGTTGAAGTTTTTATTTCTTCTGTTCCGTTAAACCACTTTGTCGTAACACAAGGGTATTGGCATCCATGGGGGTCACATATAAAGTTCAAATAGCTTCCATTATGAACCGTGTATATGTTGCTTTCCGTTAAATTGTAGTCATTCACGGATATGGTTACATTATTACATGTATCTGAAAAATAATAGTGTTTCTTAGAATGTACATCCTTGAAGAAATATTTTGGTATTTATTATATCAGTATATAACGGCGGAGTGGAAGGTGAAAGCAAACAGTCATTAATTTATTACTATGTGATTACGACCTTGTATAATTTGTTTAAATATTAAACAAACAGAAATTTGCAAAACAATTTTTTTTAAATAATAAAAACACTTAATAATAACACTTTTTGCTGTGCAACAAGAAATATTAGCGATGTGTCGTGAAAGCAAGTCATCCAATTTTCTTGCTGAATTAGTCATATTTTTAAACAATTTGTACATTTATCGGACCACGAAAGACGCACTTTTAAAATTAAACTTGACTTTGACTTATCATGCTGCTTGATATATTTCGAATTTCAAAAGTACATACACGAGACTGGACAAAACAATTTAGGGGTGAGTTTATTAGTGAAGGATTTTGACCTTTTGCATGACATAACATGTACAAGATGTGCCGAGTGTCCACTCCCGCCAAGTCATCATGCATATAGTTGCTGAGAAAATGATTTGAGTCAGGATTCGTGTAAACACCAATCAACTTCTTAGCTGTAAGTATTGGTCCTTGCAAAAACTACCTAGAACTATTGGCATCTAATTCACTCAAAAAATCAAACGAATTGTGATCCCGGAGATGGCGATAGATTGGTAGGATGTTTAGGTAGGACATGTGTTGTTTTAATCCAAATGGTCCTCTTTGCACTGATTTTTAGATTGCTTATTACCCTCGAAATACAACACCTTTGTTTTATGGAAATATTAAATTAGTGTTTATACTTAATACTATGAACGATATATTTACAACCAAGAATTGTTTATGAATAAGACCAAAGGTTGAATGTTGGGTTGTACGTATTCGGTTCATATTATTAAGCGTGACCACTACCTATAAAATTTTAAAAACATATTCATGAATAAAAGTTGGGAAGAGTCCCACTTAAGGAAAACTATGTATCTAAATACATTGTACATAACTAACAGTCTTCCTGAATTGTAGATTAAGGAAAGAAGAAAACAAAAATATTACACCTAACCACAGGGTATGTCGGTCCAACACAGAATCATCTTCAAACAGTTACATTACATTCTACTACTACATCGAAATATGTACTTTCACAGTTTATTAGGTGGCACTGACCAAAGCTGGTAAGGTCTCAGAAAGAAGGAGGGTGCAGCCCCAATAGAAGCGTGAGATCCTTAATCCAAAATGTTATTGTATTATAATGCTATGGTAACATAAATCAGACTTATGATGCTTGATATACTGTTGTCTTTTGAGAAAATCTGCTGAATATTATTCAACCAGCCACACAACCAGAAAACTGAATGTGCCCTGTGTGTTATTATATTATGCAAATTATTCTAGTCCTGTGTTGAATATTGAAAATATTTACAATCAATTAGTATGCAAATATGCTAATAAGTTTCAGACTAATATAAACTATTATAATTCATTGATTCGTCTAGACAAACAACATGTGATAACCTTGTTTTGATTCATTTGAGCAAATTGTTAGAATAATACAAAATACAGACTGTAAGTATGTAAAAATTTTCAATCTATTTGTTTGCAACGATATACAAAATATGCAATTTTGATAATGAATATGCACAGATTAATTAGAAGCTGCTAGAGTTTGGTCTATACAAAAATCAACGTACAAAATATCAAACGACGTACAGTAAACTGCACTGGACCATTACAATGACCTATTGGAATTTATTAAATAGACCATAGTACATAAGGGAGTATGTATATGAATAAGAAAATCTTTTCTTTTGACATTCAATCAAGCTCAAAAATTCAAACATATTTTATAATATCTCAAAAAATGTGCATGTGCTAGTCATCACGTTAGATTCTGCAACCTTGTTTTCGACATTTTGGCGATTGTTTGTCAATAATAGTGAAAACATCAATAATAAAACATATTGATATTTTTAAGTTGAATTGAACATATTTCGACCTTTCAAAACAATAATATGAGGTTATTACGAGGATACCTCAAAGTATGCACGAAGACAGTACAGCGGGAATATCAACCGACAGGAAGCGGAGGTCTATGCGACGGCGTACTGTCCGAGTGCATACTTTTCAGGTATCTTCGTAATAACCTTATTATTACACATCTTTTACTTCCAAGGATACATTATGGGAACGCCGAAATCCAAAAAGTTTAGAACAGAATCAGCTAATTTTGTTGTATGGAGTCCGGTCAAACCCTTGTGGCAGCCATGTTTGTTTTTATTATTAGAGGACGCTTGCGCGCGTAATCATTCCATATTTAGAATTCGCATTTCCTTATATGGTACGATGAAAATACCCCGTAAAATATCGCAAAATTCCGGCATACTGTAACTTGTGGCGTTACGGTGACAGACGTATAATAATACATTCTAGTATTACATTTAATAAAACAAAACAAAATAATACCTGGAGCTGAAAGGTACATCGTGTATGCTTGTGGATCTGCTGTCGGGGCGGAGCATTGCCATACTCCAAAGTCTTTGCTCTCAAGTGGATCTATTGTTAGGTTATATTCGCCAATGCTTTCATCTACCCTAATAGTACATGAACTGGGACAATGGGGTGTGTTTATAAATTGACCAACTGATATCGGGCGTCTCGTGGGGTAAATTGCGGTCCACTCCATGTCGTCAACGTCAATGTTTGCTACAGTGCAGATTAGACTCACAGCATCACCAACTTGCTTGCACTGATCTTGAGGAATAACCACCCACTCCGGTTCACCTACAAATAAATTTGTTCAATAAATTATATAAAGAGTAGTATAAGCAATAAGGTCACTATAACCATTAAAATATTATCTATAATAGATTTAAATTTGGCCAGAATCACTACAAGCTTAGTATTACATTTTTACAAATTAACTTACGTATTATATATGATAATGTAATACCTTATAGTTGTTAGTGTTATCCGTTTTAACATCTTATTTTTTTATATCTGTACTTTATGTAATGTATTTCCAATTCATTAATTTGAGTCAAATAAAATATACTATACTAAAATATACTATAAAAATGAGGGCAGGGCCATATTCATCTACTGTTTTGCGCATATAGCTGTGACAATAGTTTGTCTCACAATCGGAAATTCACTTTGTTTTATATGTCCATTTTATAATGATCTAAGGGCTGATCTTTTGTCAATAACCCTATGCAATTGTGCAAATACTGACAGTCTGGGCTTACTTCGTGGCTACACAAACTCCCATACCATATATCAACTAGCTCTGTACCTTTTAAAAGTTTTCAAGCGACGAGATAAATATGAATCCAGCTTAACTTAGTACCATATGTTTACATGGATGTTGTATTGTGTTTAAAGCGTGCTATGCACTTTTCCACCCATTACATTTTGTACGATGGGCTGAGGCCCTGTACAGAAATAAAATTACATAATACAAAATTGACTAATACTAAAATGAATAATTGTAGACAGATTTCGACATGAAATCGTGTCACTTTTATTTATGTGATTAAGTAGTAAAAACTGTGAGCGAGTAGCCGTTGTGTAGCAAAATATTCCCATTTCAACTGGGTCGTCTAATTTGCACGGTCCATTTCACCGAAGACCGCGATAAAACTGCGTCATACAAAGTATTTTTTAAAATGTTCGAGGAAAGGTAAATTTAGACGCAACCCACCCAATGGCGATCGTTATGTTTATATAGCTGTATGAATATCTCATCGTTTTTTACATTTTGACAGTTTTCTAGGTTTTGACTCCGCGGACGATTTTACGCCCGTTTCCCTCGAATTGTAAATATTTTTATTTTATTTTTTCATCTGACGATTGAACATCAGCAAGCGTCAGTGTATGATGGATTTTGGCATGTTGTCGTGATGCAATAGCCATTTTTGTGGGCGATTAACGTCATTTTCATAAACGGGCATCATCTCCGAACAAAAGGACGTTTGGCTTATTTTTAAAGCTTTGTATAGTGACTAATTTGCATAGCCATTCACTCAGTAAGAAGTTTGCTAATGCTCATAATTAAAATGGTTGTAACAGTTCCCAATTTAAACCTATTATCGTTTTGTAACGATACAAATATAATGCATAATATGGAAATTCCATCATTACATTTTTTTCACCATGTTACCTTTTTGCTATATTTTAAAATCGTCTTTTGAGTACGCTGCGAAATTTCAACAATATACAGCCAAGACTGTCTTGATAATAAAAGCATTAAAAGTGCCCACGAACCTGCATCTATACCATACAATTTTCAATAATGTCGATTTATTTTACGGCAATAAATAAGTAAATACAATGCTAGTGTCAGCAATAGGCCCACAGACATAAACTCACAGGGTTGCTGCGCCCCTTATTGCAACAACCACTCCCATACCCAAATTGGCGGATCCATAGCCCCAATCAGGCCACAAACGTCCGCCTGAACTTTTCCGCCACTTCCAACACGAGCATACGAAGGCTTATTGTAATCGAAGAAACGAAACGAAACGAAACAATATAACACACATAATACAAATTAAACTGTATTCGGTGAATATGGGTTTTATATGCACAATATTTACAAAATATTTGCCGAAACTAATAATATTTAATACGTATATGGTTCGTTTCGCTAATTACAGATCTTTAATCTTTATTCAGCGAAACAAGGGTCTGACACATACAATATTCACAACTGTCGGACGAAGCTTGACCAGTATTTTTATTTATTTATTTATTAATTTATTAATTTATTAATTTATTTATTTATTTATTTATTTATTTATTTATTTATTTATTTATTTATTTATTTATTTATTGCTACCCTTTTACATCAGGGGCTCACTAATAAGTAATTAGGATCTGCAACACAATTATTGGAAAAAGCATATACTAAATAAATGAAAAAAGAAACAGACAATTTAAAACGTAAAGGAAGTACAAAAAATGAAATTTGTTAAAACCTAAAGAAAATACAAAAAAAAAGAATTATTTGAACTTAAAGTAAATACATGTACATAAAATAAATCTAATCTACATAATCTCTTCTATAATCCATGACATCAATAAGAAATCTTTTCACAATTCTATCAATATATTTACCTTTCAGTCGTGTATATAACACCCTAAAACATTTGCCGAAAACAATGGGAAAACAATTAGTGAACGGTTCGTTTTGCTAATTACAGATAATCGGAAATCTGCAATCACGCAGCAAAACAAGGGTCTTATTAAATTACAGGTACAATAATCACAACTATCGGACGAAACTTTACCAGTATTTTTACCTTTCAGTCGTGTATAAAAATTCATAAAACAATTATCTAAAATTAGCGAAACGAACCATTCACTAATTAAAATCCCGTTATTTTCGGCAAATGTTTTATGGCGTTATATACACGACTGAAAGTTAACAATACTGGTCAAGTTTCGTCCGACAGTTGTGAATATTGTACGTGTCAGACTCTTGTTTCGCTGATTACAGATTTTTGATTATCTGATTAGCGAAACTTTAATTTTCATTATGTGTGTTATCCCGTTTCGTTTCGTCACAATACAATAAGCCACATTTTGTACCTCGGCCTCATTTGCTTTCAGCTCCTGCTCTTTTCTGGGTTTTTGCCCTGTACTCATGCCAAACTCACTCGGAGCTGAACATAAAATTGCGTAATGGTATCTGATGGAATAAGAATCCTGGCAAAGTTGTGTGCAATGTGTATTAAACTATCAAATAAATGATCATATTCATACTCATGTCAATAGTTCTCATCTTTCTTCATCAAACAACGAATGACACCAACAGGAGTTGCATACACATTGAGTTGATCACACTCCACTTGAGTGCAAAAAACGGCAGAGAATGCTCGCAATAGGGGGTAGGATGTTCTCAATATATGTCTGAAATAGGGGGTGTTTTTTGATTCAATATGTCTGCTCTATGGGGTACTAAATTGACATTGTGTCCGCAATAGGGGGTATGGTATGGCAATGTGCTGCCAGCCCTAGGGGCCTCTTATTTTTTAGCAAGAACGCACATAGTGTAAGGTATTTACGTTAAGTTGAGTTGACCATTTGACCTAGATTTCAATAAGATGACATTCGTTCGTCCACCGGATCTTCATATAGCATTCTAATGTAACCTGAATATAATATCAAACAACCGATAGAATTATTTTAGTTATCTGAGAAAGAAAGGAATCTTGAAAAAAAAAACATTGCAAGCCAGAATTTACAACACTCGATCATTTAGAAACATGAGTTTAGAGATAGAGGTTGACGCCATGAAAATTACGAAATAAATTTAATCTACGCAACGTGATGTGTGTTTCTAATTATATTTATTAAATATTACAGCCTATTCCATAATTCAAATTGTATTTTATTGCTATACGGATTTCCCGTACGCGTAAGTGGCATATAGTCGAAAATGTACCTCATATTTCCCAAACTATCACGTGGAGGCATCCTTATATACATGCAATCCAGTAAAAGCAGTGCATTCAACTCGAAAACAAAATGGTAAATTCACACACATATTCAAGCAAATTAGAATGAGATATGTCCCAAGGTGCATTTTGCACGAAGCTACGAATACAAAAAAATAAAAAGTTGTTGGCTGTTGTTATGAGAACAGTAGAACGGAACTATTTATTTCAAATTCGCCCACCTTTCTATAGTGCAGGTTTGGCCAAGCCCCCACAGAAATATTAAAAGCAGTCAAGATATATTTATAAGCTGCTGATAAGGTGATGGTTGACCCCGGTATCATAACTGAATATGGTTGGTTAACTTTATTTGAGGCTGTTATGGATTGTCTTTACCCTCCCCAATTAGATACGATATAATACAATTTACTATAAGATCGTCGCTCACTCTCATATCTCAGTCACGGGAACGGCCACTATATAATCAAATATCTACATCTTGTATATTTCAGCTTCGTGGTCCATGTTAGTAGGATAGTTTAAGGTTACATCATTAAAGTCAAAGGTCACTTGATGTAACCAACAATGCTTTACGAGCATGTAATAAACATGGCGTATTCCTGGTAACGCTTACTGTGTGAGTCTGAGTAATTTAATAAGTCTACAGTGCCTATCAGACATAACAGCTCTGTAATTCGGACTTCCCAGAATGCATAAAAATATTTTTTATTGAATGGGTCACATACTACTGTATACACAATTGCTGACATTTTTGTGCAGTTAATCATGCAATGAGTGAGGTGTCATAGCAGCATTAACATATATTAATAACTCATATTATCTATCACATTTATTTACATGCAATTTATATTTTTATTTGTTTTGCCTGTGAGTACATTTCACTTGATTCAACTAGCAGTTATATGCTAGTTCAGTACAGTTTTTTATTTATTTATTTATTTATTTATTAGAGAAAATCACAGACCCAATTTCAAGCATATCAAATTACATTACAGTTTTGTAAACTGGACACAAGGCTGTGTGTTAGACCACTCATTCATCAGGAATAGAAATGAATGTATTATCTTCATCACGAACTTGATATAAAACTAAATGTGTATATGTTGATATTTATAACTATCCAACCGAGTTTAGCCAAGTGAAGAGTTGGGAGCAGATTTTCAATTAAAAATTCTTTGCAATAACTTTGCATTGTATAAAAATGATCATGCAATATCGCAATTTAACTGATTTATTTGGCAAGGAATTCTGCTCATGATAATATTTATTTATATTTATTGTTGCTAGCGGACGAAGTAATCACAGCTGTGCTGTGAACATTTCAGTCAAACCGGAACGCCTTGACATATTTCTGGATTTATCAACAAAATGTCACATTTTCTTATCTGATATACATATTTCACTGATAGAATAGTTTATATTGCAATTCTTTCAATTTTAATGTGTTGTATTGCAATACAATAGTGATAACTAATGTATACATTTCTTTATTTCATTGCTTACAATGACTTATACATTTGTTTCATAGTATAATTTCTTATCTATATTGAAAAATTGTTCTGGGATTATTAATTTTAATAAACAATATTCAATTCTCCTTGTGCAACACCAATGAAGTCATTACTTATCGTATGTCACTAAGCAGTATAACAAGCATGCATGGTGAAAAGCTTCAAGTGTTCCTTAGTCGAAGTAAGAAACTGGTGGGGCAATAGTTTGACCATAGTTTCTCGATTCCTATAGATTTTGAAATGGTTACTTCCAAACAGAAATCAAACAATCCAAGTTATAAACGCTGTATTCAGTTCAATCAACCCTGTTTTTCAAAAGGTGTGTCCTCCTCGGCCTTGAAAATTCTTCTATCGTTCATTCAAAAGAAATGAAATACTAATGTACCGAACCTCTGCATTCATAAACAAACATGTGTGCCTCAACGATAATTGCCTTTTTTCTCAAAAGTTAAATTCCAACCCAAAATATACGTAAATCGTTAACCACCATATTCAAATTAAAGGTAATTAATTCTTACAATATATGAGACAATCAAGGGAATCAATCGAACATCGATCCCAAATGCAAAACAATTTACAAAATACGTTCAACATTTAATAAGTATATCATAAAAAGAAAGTAATTATCGAATATCACCCCAAGTGGTACTCACTCAACTATGAGGAAAAACAGATAACAATTACATAAATAACTCAATAGTCAAGACACGACCAAGTGTTAGACAGAATATGCACTCATTGTATACACATCACTGAAAGGCCCTCCTTCTGTAACAGGTGGCCGGAAAGCTCAGGGCTGAACATACAGAGCGAAACTTTCTTGCACCCATAGCTTCATGTTGCAGGGTAATATGAGGTATGTAATATTGCTACCTCTCATATTGGAAAACGCCACGCTGACTGATAGGGGGTCACGTAGAATTGAATAAATCACATAGCGACATTTCAGCATCGAAAAAACTGTGGCCCCCCGAGATGGCGCCTTTGTTTATAACAGAACGTTCCATATCAACGCACTCGGATTATTCTCAAATGTGGATATTCTACTTGGGTGTGACTTCAAAATTGTAAGCACATTTAACATACTGAATCAAATTTTCTTAGAACTTTGTCAATTAATATAGTAATAATTAATATTCACGAAATTAAATTGTGTTTCATTGGATATCCCAACATCAACTATTAATGTATACCAACAAATAAACGCGTACATTGCACACAATGCTCTCCGTCGCGACTACAGACCTCGGCTTCCCTTTTGCGCTTGTTCACTTCTCGTGGACTGGTTCGCGCCTTTTCTTGCTGGCGCAGTTGTACATATGATAATGAGGCCATTCTATGCAATAACCAAAGACAAAGGTGGTATTCCCTGAAGTAGTAAGAATATTTTTCTCGCGCTATGCGAACGCAAAAAAAATACTATACTAAAAACGTAAACAAACGCTATAGTGTCGGTTGGTGAGTTTACAGATTCAAATTTGTACACAGACAAATCATGGCCACACTAGTGCAGAAACTGATAACCACGCCGATATTTCAGTTACAAAAATGTGTGAAAGCTATATGACTACACAACATCCAATTAATTCTTGCCAATAACGACATTGAAATTATGATAAATATCGCCTTGTATAGTACTGGTGTACTGGGCACATGCAGCCTCATATGCGTTGTAGTTGTTTTCGCGGACACCGCTTGACATAATTTGACAGTAAATTCCAGGAATTCGAGGTGACAAAACAATTAAATAACTGCAAACCTCGGAGTATATGAAGATGTGTCAATAATTGTCACACCAGGAAGACAAAATCAGTTGCAGTTAATAATTGCTTAATGTTATATATCGCCCTCTAGTGTTTTGTGTGAATTATTAGTTGACACATTTGAATTACTATGGCAATTACATATAATATAATTATAATATAATATAATATAATATAATATAATATAATATAATATAATATAATATAATATAATATAATATAATATAATATAATATAATATAATATAATATAATATAATATAATATAATATAATAAGAAAATAGAATAGTATTAAACTCATGCTTACCTAGAATCAGGTGTAGATTCGCCAAAAGTGTAACGACGTAAATTAGGTAAATCATGCTTTTTCAAAGAAATGACACGTTATTTTTCAATGTAGAATCGTCCGAATTGCTGTATGGACAGAATTAGAATAGTTGAATACATATCACTCTATCAAAAAGAAACCATTACCATGTGGTGGTCGGGCTATATTGTCGAACAGAGGTTTAAAGAAGAAGCAGTTCGTGATAGCAAATCTCACACCCTATCGAACTCTCGTCTGAAAAGCTGCGAGGGCGCAAACATGCTACAACTACAAAGTAAGCTTTATAGTGGACTACTTACAATAGCGCGTGTTGGGATCTGTGTGGAAGATTCAGATATAATAGTACACTACTCTAGGGGGTACTAAATTTACATTGCGTCCGCAATAGGGGGTAGGGTTTGCCAAAATGCTGCCAGCCCTAGGGGCATATTATTTTTAGCAAGAATGCACATGTTGTAAGGTTTTAAGAGTGACTCCCCCGGGCCGGAATCTAGTTCTTTAAAAAGTGTTAGTACTGTGCCCTGTTTAACTGTTGGCACTTTTAAACCCAAGCTGTTCTTTTATAAATGAGGACAGATATTTGGCGTGATAATCTGTAAGACTGTGTAATGAGAATGTCAATCCCTACTTTTTGTCATTGATTTTACGGCTTTTGTCCACTGATGTCACACTTTCAGATTGTTTGGAAACGCATAAATTTTCACACTATTACTATACGCAATGCTGGGTCCGCCAAATATACAATGTTTCAAAAAAAGCGCCGACCGAAAAATATATATCTTTAACAGTTTCGTTAAATGACGCCGTATTATAAAAGTAAAATGATAAAATATTATAACGGATATGCCAGGAAATGCTTGGCTTGAAAATAGACAATTTAGGTACACGCAATTGAATTCTAGCGTGATTCAAATATTAGATGAAATGAAACTTAATATCTGGAAAAACAATGAGCTACAACACAGTGAAGCCTTAATAAAAAAATGTTTGTGAAAAACTTGAAGCACAATGTCGGAAAAGATGTAAGGCATTTATGCACAACGACAACAAAGGCACGAACCATAAAAACAAACTGAGAGCGTACAGAAAATTAAAAAAAGATTTTTGAGTAGAATATACTTGCAAAATATAAAAACAAGCCATGCATGGCACAGTTCAGGGGCGGATCCAGCAAAATGTATGGGACCGTGCGATTCGGACGATGCTATGCGTAATCCAGATGCATTTTCTGCCACCCCCCCCCCCACCCCCCACCCCCCGATCCGCCACTGCCGCAGTATCAAAAGTGACGCTAACCTTTCCTCCCTCATACTGGCCCTCGGACATGTTAGTGTTTTTTTCCAGTTTGGAGAAGAATCTATCAGGCTCAGCTGTTGAGACAGGCAAAACGCACAATATCTTCAACAGTGTGCATGTTTGAGAAGGTGACGCTATCACACATATTAAAAGCACTGATAGCAGAACATTTTGTTTGTGATTTTCCCGGATCCTCAGATTGTACAAACTTTTGTTTCCATAGAACAAACTGTCCCTCCATAACACTTTCATTGTCAAGAAATGCTGCATATTTCTGGAAAGCTGGTTTTACATCCAGCCAGGTTGTAGCAGCAATGTTGCAGAAAAGTATTTTCGACAACATGAAAGAAGCTTTCTGTTGTGCTCCAAATCTAGCTTCATTATTAGTTATCACAACATCTAACAATGGATAAAATACATTTACCCTATAGCAATCAGCAGCTAACTGGTTTTCTTGACCAGCATTTGCCCCGTAGACTGATCTTTTGCCATGTCGTGGTTTTTTATCTATGACTGCTCTATCTAAACCGACTTTTTCTGCAAGTTCACACGCAGCTTGGTGTATTTCAAGGAACCCGTCAGAAGTGTAAGTACGAAACTTCTTGAGTACTACCAGCATATTTTCAATATCGGCTAGGGCAGTCACAAGGTCTTTTCCAACTGCTTGAAGTGACACAGACACTGGTCTCATTACTCCAGAGATCTTTTCCAACATTACAAGTCTACATTTAATTGGTCTCTAATTATGCCTTAAGCAGTAATATGCATAATAATAATAGAACTATAATGTTTTAGATCTTGCAGCGTAAACTTATTCCAAATTTGCGCAATTGTGGGGCCAGTTTGTTCTTAAAATATTTATAAGTTTCATTTATCATTATTTAGTAAACAGGCCCTATATCCGTAAAATCAACGATTGACTTCGAAACGATCGAAGTTTCGAACAAACTCCCGGCACACGTTGCGCGACTGGATATGCGTCAGATTCAGCTATTTTTAAAAGTTATTTAGAACTACGATTACCGAATATTATCTTCTATATATCATATTTATCAGT